GAACCGCTGCCAACCTCCGTAGACGGCGCTGATCCCTACAGAAAACATAGCAAGGCATTTCCAGCACTTGGAGTCCAGGCAAGACATATGGACATAAAATAACCTGCCTTCCGGTGCCCTCCTTGTGTTTGTGCAGTCAGAGTCCTGGCAGGGGCAACTCCTCAAGGATGCCAATCAAAAGAGAGGTGTCCAGAGCCTACTGGCTGTGTTTCTGCCCTGAGGGGTCCATCTCCCCTGAAGCACGCACCACAAGGCTGCTCCATACATGCACGGCTGCAAAACCTTTGACTGTAGCCATTCCCAGCACTGCAGGGAGAGCCGCCAGGCTTGCTGGGCTCTTCATTCCTGTCCATGTGGACAGATGCCCAGGTGTCCTGGCACCTGTGAGCAAAGGGTCAAAAGAGCAACTCCATTTGGGCTCCTAAATAGGGGTTAGAGTGCAGCAGTGCTTAGCAGTCTGCAGCTCCCACCTGGACAGCTGAGATCTGGTATCTGCAAACATCCCCATGCTGACCCGTGCCTGGAGGGGTGACCTGTGTGCAGAATTGCCCCCACACACTCCCTGTTTCTTGCTGCCTTTCTCACACTCCCCTAGCCCTGGCTTTGCCTGTGGGGCTACGCAGGGACTTTCCTAATAACTTGCTGACAGCAGGAGCAAGGCCAGCTCAGCAGGGCTCCGTTACAGATGACAGATACCCTGTCCTTGTTGGGACAAAGAGCATCTACTTAGTGGATGTAAAAAGAAGTGCAGTAAAACCAATGGCCCCCTCTGTTCTCTCACGATTGCACCTTGGGGCTTTCTGCCAACGGCAGAGCGGGGCCTGAGCTCAGGCACAGGGATGGTTCCTGGCTCTGTCCTCAGAAAAACTGCTGAGAAAGGTTATTGAGACAACACTCACCCACAGCGGCTTGGAGCAGACACCCTCTTCCCTGCAGAAAGGGCTCTCCCGGGACCAATTCAGAAACCTACCGAAGCTCTAGATGAACCAGGTGCTGAATCTGCCTCAGGTTGCATATGCCAGATATTCAAACTGGGCAGCTCAGATTTCTCTGAGTCTCTGTCATGCATGGGGAAGACTTTTATTGTGAGAGGGGGAGGAGTGCAAAAAGGGAAACAGAAGTTAGTGCGATGGAAGCGGAGAACATGCGGTAGAAGAGCTAGACAGCCACACGTATACTTCAGAGGTGGGGGTACACATAGTGCTCAGCTTCAGAGCCGTGAGCTCACAGGATGTACAGTAGCTCCAAGCCTCCGAGTCCTCAAGTTGGCCTAGATCTTGCTGCTGTGCGTGCCCTAAATGGGGCTATGCGTTGGGTCTCATGCCACTGGCTGCTTCCTGCTTAGAGGCCAGAGCCTGAGGCTGGCTGGCGTGAGCACAGGCTGCCTTGTGCTGGCAGTTCCCTTCTGCACCTCGCTCCACAGCTTCAGCTGCAGATGTCTGGCTTCACCTTTTCCCTGATGCTGGTCCCGGGGCAGCTGCTGCATTCCATCCCCTGACCGCTAGCAAAGCAGCTGGCTCTGCATGCCAGTGTGACCAAAGACAGGACCCAGCCTCTGGCCTGCAAAGCACTTTAGGCTCAGTTCCAAAGGAGAATTCTGCAGTAATGCACAGCTATGTGTTTCACCACAGCTCTGAGCAGACAGCTGCTGACTCGACTCAAACCATTTCCCTCGAGCCTGACAGGAAAGTCTGCCAGTGCCCCTTCCCCATGTGGTTTCTGGTTTGGCCAGCCACCGCAAAACTGGGGAGTGCAAACTTCTAAAGCATTCGGTAGTAGAAGGTGAAAACTTCATGGCCTGACTGGACCAGCATGGCTTTAGTCATCCTGCCCACATAGGAGCTGGACACCTGCCAGGCAGAGCTTGGGACTAGACAGCCCAGTCCTCAAGGAGCATCAGCTCGTGCCCCAATAATATGCAGCTAGGCCTGGACTGAACTGAACTGGACTGAGGCACGCAGGGCAGAACTGCTGGCCATCACCCCTTTGGCCATCCTCGGGGCTGGAAATCCCACAAGCTCTTCTTGCAATTCCACCACGTCTCTGTGCATTTCTAGCCAGTAAAGAAAATGGCAGCCTGCCATGTGAAAGTGATTTATTGACACGGCAAGCCTGCCGTGCATCAGTACAAGAGAGACCCTCCAGCTAACCCCACGCACTGAAAGCAAGGGTAAGAACAGCAGCACACGCACTAGGCCAGATGCAGGCCCCCGCTCCCATCCTCTTCCCCAGGCATGGGAACAGCTAACAAGAGAGACTTCTTCTAGCAGACACTAGAGCCGCAGTGACGTGTCCAGCTCTCTGGTACTTGATCGGCCTCACAAACACTGGCACACAGAAATGGAGAATCAGTGCTTGGCATCGCAGGGATTGGCAGAATCCCGTTTCTCCTTCATACATCAGGGTCTAGCAACAAGCTTAGGGCTACAGGGGACTAAGGCACTTCCACAGGGGACCAGGCAACAGCAGGTGACATCAGCTCCCTCCAGCTACTCTCATTTAATGAGATGGGGACCCCTTCACATGCCTACTGCTACATGAAGGCCGGCATCAGGCTGCAAGGTTTCCAGGTACCCAAGGACAAGCCTAGCTCAAACAGCAAAGGGCTGGGCCAGACCCCAATCCTGTCCCCAGCCACCTGCACAGCAACATTCCCACAGCTGTGCACAGAAGCAGGGCCTAAGACCTCTACAGGCAACAGAGATGCTCCCCAGCCCTGGGTGGTCTGAGGCAATGCTGGGAATCCCTTATAGGTCCCCACAGGTGGAAGCTGTGGACAGGGGCTTTGCAGTCAGGAGGAGGAAAGAAGGACAGTGATAGGTGTTGCGGAGCCTGTTCTGGAGGAACTGAGGAAGCTCTGCCAACTCACCAGCAGTGTCACTCCTTGCTCTTCCAGGATCATCTGCACTCCTTGCTCTGCCTCATCATCTGACCCCAGCCCTCTTTCCTGCCCTGGGCAGGGGGTCGGACTCGATCTGCTACGGTCCCTTCCGACCCAAACATCTATGAATCTATGATCTGTTCAGTGCAGACACGGGCTTGTCACCAAAGCAGTGTGAGGCAGTTTGCCAAGTCAGTGGCACCAAGGAAGAGGGAACACCCAGAGGACTTGCTCCTTCCCCTGCCCTTTGGAATCTCCTAGCCCCATCCTGTCCCGCCCCTGCCCTCTGCACCTGGCTGACATGCTGTCCACCTCGCTCTGCAGCTTCCCAGCCTGTCCGTGGCTCCCCTGGCCTCCTGGAGTCTCACAAGACACAGCAGAAACTCCCTGGCAGCCCAAGGTGAATGCAACAAAGGCTTTTCACTTGGAGGACCAGGACATCTTTGCACTAACCCAGCCACCGTCAGAAACACTGAACCACTGAGGGCTGCTTCTGCCCTGTCATGTACAAGGCCTATTGAGGAGAACTTGCTGGGCTCCCTCAGGGTCTGTGCCTGCAAGGAACAGGACAGGAGGTGGGTTGTTTTCTTTACAGGAGAACCTCAACTCAGCTTCCTCTGCACGTTGCCCTGAGCCAACAGCCAGGACACAGAGGGGGCAGAGGTCTTCCCAGCTTCCCCTGCTAGAGGGAAACAGTTGCAAATTAAACCACCATTATTAAACACGTAGCTTTGGTCAAAGCACATCGGTATCTAGCACTGATGCTGGACGCTGACAACTCAAACCAAAGAGTGCCAGAATGATCACGATGCAGACAGCAGCTTTCTACAAGCTCAAGCTGACAAGATGGGAGGGACAAGATGGTAACCCTGTAATTATGGGTCTGCTACCAGGAAGCAATGACAAAGCAGCAAGCTCTCATCATTCCAAGCCCAAACATGCCCTCTGCACCTACTCTGCAGTCATCAGCTGGTGGAAGGCTTCAGCCAAGATGCACCACTGGAAACAGAAGCATCATAGGGGAGGGTGAGTAAGTGCAAAACCACCTAGACTTGAGTTGTCCAACTGCTAGCAGCAAACAACTAGCTTTGCTGCAGGTACTGCATTTTCTAGGTCAAGAGTTACATTTCAGGTTTATCTGCCTCGGATAAAGGAAGTGGGCTGGTTTTAACATACAACACGCTCACTTTTGCAATAAATAAAGATTTTAAAATCGTAATTTCTATCATTCAATAAAAATTGATTCTTCTATCTCAGCATCATTCTCCCAATTCTTCAGGGTAAGAGAGGCAGGTGGCTTCATCCTGCACTGGGTCTCCAGGGATCTTTGGGACTTTCTGGATAGAACTTTCCAATGCTGCAATTTCTCCTTTCACCTGGCTTTGGTCATTCAGTATGGGTCTTCATCATCAAAGTCCTGAACAGGAAACACAAAGGGAGATTAGAGACAAAACAAAAATACGACTTCAACAGAAATTCTGGTTGGGCAGATTCAGACAAGACATTAGGTGTTTCCGAGAAGATGCTGGTGAAAGCCAACACCCCTGCAAAAGCCTCAGGACTAATGACTGACCGACGTGCTAAAGGACCCAGCTGCAGACAACAAGGAGTCGAGCTCTTGGTACTGCGAGAAGGTGAAGTGAAGAAGCAGCAAGCACTTGTCGCATCCTCGATAGGCAGTTCAAGTTCCTAGAGAACTGACCCAGAGAAACTATTTCCTCCCTGCAGGAGCCCTACATAAGCCCTGGGAAGCACCATGCCAGATGGGCAAGAGGAAAGCACGCGTGCTTAGGCTGCATGTTCCCAGGTTTGCAGAAAGCTACACGGCACTTTAAATCTACTCTTTAGCTTCAGTCCTAACAGCAGAATGCTTTCAGATCCCTTCTGCCAACCACAGGTCTGCTGCTTTCGTTTTCCACTTCCCCTCAACACCATCCCCCTGGCTGTGGCTTGCTCGCACGCACATCTCCCCCGAGCCCTCATCCCAATTCAGGAACCAAGTCCAAACAGCTTCCTTGGACTACCTGGTTTTGCAATCTCAGATCCTCTCTGATGCGTTAACAGCAGCACAAATCAGACAAGGAAATACTTTAGGAGAGAAGCATTCTGGGACAGAAAGACGAGCACAAACACCCAGTGAAACACTCAAAGCCAACAGGATTACATAACTCAGCCTGGCCTTTACTGCAGGGCCAGAGGAGGCATGCTAGCCCTGCTTCTACCTCTGACCCGCCCTTGCTCAGTTCCTGGTCCAGTAGCCTCCAACCTGTTCCTCTACATAGTCACCCCACTACCAGCAAGACTGCTTTCCTGGCCCCTCAGTGCTGAGGGTACCATAACAGAGCCACTGCAGGACTTACAGGTTGGCGATGGGGTAGTGAGTGAACATGATTTCAAGACAATGAGCAGAACCACAAAAACAAGGGAATCTCTGGGCAGGAGGGGACCATGCTGCCCCCAGCTCTGCAGGCTACAACCTGTGCAAGAACATTAGGTGGATTTAAACATCCCTGTTTCTGTGCTGCCAAACCCTGGCTGAACTGCACCCAGGATGAGGAGATCACTGTGGCCCATGCATGGACAACACTGCTCTGGAGTTCTGGATCTTCATCTCCCAGGAACACAGTATTTTCTGCGGTTTCTACCCAACAAAGCCCTGATATGGAGTGCACTGAAGAGCACCATCCCAGAGTCCACAGGTTCTACCCTTGGCTCGCGCTACTGCTCTCCCTACAGAAAAGCACTTGGAAAAATGGTATGTTCACTTACCACACACTGCAGACACCATATCCCCAGCCTTCTCATGCAGCCATCTCTCTCGCTATGTTCAGGCCTGCAGAAAGAGCATAACAGCAAGTCAGCACGTCTATATTCACATTCGCAGGCAGCCAGGAGACTCTGCTTCTATCAGATCCAACACGTGGGCTCTCCCTCCGCACCTCTGACTACATCATTGTAAACACCATTTCAGGAATGAAGCTTGGGCTAGCAAGTGGGAAAACCAATGCATCTGGTTCCTCATTTCAAAGCCTGGCACTTGACTGGTTTGTCATGTCTTTTTACCACTTGATCTCCTACACAAAATTGCTGTTTGGTCAGAAAGTTTCAACAGCCATTAGTTAAAATACTGTATGTAAAAAATTCCGTGAATGTAATGTTGGCTCATCAGTGCTGCAGGTCAAACTGCTGGGTGTTGCACTGGAATAGGCAGTCCCTGGTAATAGCTTAGAGCCATATCTTCATCACAACCACAGCCAGAGAGGAATCCCATGCATTTCACTTCGCTCCATTCCTACCTGGCGTTAGCAGAGACTCTTACTACCCACCCACAGAGTCTCATTGGTTGAATCTTGGACCCTGTGGGTTATAAAACAGGGGAGACCAGCAAAATGCACACCTACGATTGTAAGCCAGCGAGAAACTATAGGTTGTAGGGTACAGGCAGAACTTACTCATCAGACACTTCAATGGAGGATTTCTTATAGCCTGATTTTTTTTTATTCTTTAGCAACCCAAACTTCCTTCCCATCCTCACTAGCAGCAGAATCACCACAATGACCGAGGGAACGAACACTAGGATGGACAGCAACATTGCTGATGTCAGCTGGAAAGACAGGCCTGCAAGAGAGAAGGAAAGCAGAGCACATACAAGAGGTGAACGCGGCTTTGCTTGCTCTCTAAGGAAGCAATAATCCCTATACAGCCAGCTGGCCCTTGTAACAAAATGCCCAGAGCTTGCAATGGTCCTGCAGGTAACTCAGTTCAGAAGCAGATCTGAGGCTTTCAGTGCCCAACTGAATGAAAAGCAGTGAAACTGGGGGGTCAGGTCAAACCTGTGGGTGTACCCTCTCTTCAGGGCCAGGGACATGGCTCTCGTGCAGGGAAAAGGAGGCCCCTGCCCTAGGCAGCTAATAGCTCACGCCAGAGCTTCGTTAATGTTTGTGGAGCCTGAAGTTATCCTTAAGACAACAGCGATCAGCAGTTCACATTACTGGGTCCTAACCCTGCAAGCTTTTGGGACTGGAACTTACAGATTCCCAGGTACAGGCCGATGGGTGCCAGTCACCGGGGCCTGGAGTCTTACCCCTCTCTGTGACGGTCAGCACTGTCCAGGGAATGTTGTGGTGCACGTCCGGAGGGTTCTTCACAGCGCAGGAGAACGTCCCATTGTCACTCAGCATTGGGTTTTGGATGGCGATGGAAGCATCGCCCTTGGCAACGTCCCCGACCCAGGAAATCCTGCCTTTGAATGTCCCCATTTCAGTCGGGTAGGCAACAGACTGATAATGAAAAATCTAAGGAGGAAAAGCAGCAATTATCACATCCCTTGAGTAGAAGACCGAGCTGGGCTCACAGGCCCACACCAGGCAGCGTAGCACCAGCTTTCCATGGGTTGTTTTTTTGGTTTTCCTTTTTGCTAAGGGACGGAGGCGAGTATCACCACCTTCCACATCCCCTTTGCGCACCGGCCCCCAGGGCCCCTGTGCTTTCAGCAGCCTTCTGGCCAACGAGCATCTACGGCAGAAGAGGGTCCTAGCAACTAGGATGCTACCTTGGAACCGGGGAGACCAGGACTAAAGCCCCCGATCCACAACCAACGCCCTGTACAGCTGCGAGCAGGTTACTTTGACTCGTCACTCCCATGTCGGGCAGGAGCCCGACTCCCTCCCGGCCTTGCAGAGACACTGGAGAGCAAAAGACAGACGTGCAGCTACTCCGGTCGCGGGGAACCATACGAGCACCTTCACGTGACCGGCTGACGTCTTCCCAAGACACTCGCAGTCCTTCCAGGTGTCACACAAGTGTCACCAGGGCCCCGCCCCATTCCTGCCCTGGGCACAGCACGCGCCCGCCGCGGCCTCCCGGCTACGAGCAGCGGGCAGCCTGTCTCACCCACAAAGAACGTGGGTTTCGTTGCGTGTTTATCTTGAATGGCAGCTTTACAACAAGACTCGACAGGCAGGCACCAGCGCCAGGATTTCATAACACTGTCAACAATCACGGGTCAGGCCCGTAAATCTGTAGGGGCCGTCTGTCGCCGTCAGCGCCTGCCGTGGCGCGCACGCTGCTGTCGCCCCAGCGCCCGCAGCCGGGGGCCGTGCCTGGCGGGGGTCCAGCCCACCGCAGCGGTGGCACTTTTCCACGCACGCCCGGGGTGCAGAGCAGCGCCGGCGTCTCGCAGCGAGTCCCTGGTGGCGCTGGTGCCCAGCGGGGCTGTGCGCACCCCCGGCTGCGCGCCG